CCCCCCCCCCCCCCGTCAGTATTTCGCGAGTTGTCTGCTACTGGTTATAGATAATTTTAACAAGCTTGAAAAAGTCCCGGTGTGGTGCTATCCAACCTTCGTACAATTACAGACTTCTACTGGCGTTAAAGAGAATTTAGAGTGCTGAGAAGCAGTTGGTTGCTCGTGAAGTATTTATGTCTACATTTCTCAGAAATCTCAGCACATGTCTGTAAAATTTTGTTGCTAGATTTGATTTAATCCATTTTCGGCAATTACTGCATGCATTACATATAAATTTGTTTGTGTTGTTTAGAGGTTAGATATGTTTGCACCAGATGATACTTGCAGGACAAGTCAAGGTTCACCCGCGTTTCAACCTCCAGAAGTTGCAAATGGTTTAGAATCTTTCTCTGGTTTTAAATTGGATATTTGGGCAGCAGGTGTGACATTGTAAGTAAATATATATTATCATTTACTTTGTACTAAATATATAACCTTTCTGGTGTAAAAATTCCTATGTGAATACTGTTGATACTGATCATTGTTGTATCTTGCTTTGACACGTTGCGTCTTGTTAATTTATTTAGACCTACTAAGTACTATAGTAATTATACAAGGTTAACAATATACACCTGTATATATATTATTCAGCTCACTCATGTATGATCGTGGCTTTCCGGTGACTGATTACATCAAGTATTACGCTTACTAAACTTCCGGAGAAAACTCGCGACTTTATAACAAACATACTTGCAGGTTCGGTGAGTCCGGGATTGGACGCACCGAGGGTGGCTGGAAGTTTCCCGAACTCCAAAGTTTCCCGAAACTTCCAGCCACCGGAGGTGCGTCCAATCCCGGACTCACCGAACCTGCAAGTATGTTTGGTTTTTATCACATGCGATTTCGGTAAAATACTAAAAAGTACTGAAGAATTTTATACGCATTTTACTTTTTACTCGCTGGGGCTCCTGTGCCCCAGACGAGTATAGGTTTCGGCTCACATTTGTGGTGCATCTCCAATCGTCGATAGCCACAAAATAGAATATTAATGAGCTGCCTAATTTTCCCCAAATTATCCATAAATAGCCCTCTATTTTGAGGAAAATTCGGGAAAATTGAACAATTTTACAAGGAATTTCGCATGGAAACAGAAACCTTCGCAAATCGCAAGTTTATTAAAGTTTATACGTTTGACTGCGCTGCTTTATATTTTGAGAAGAAAGCGACACCGTTCGATTCAGCGTAAGAAATTGTACTTACGGATGTCAAGTGTATTACTAAACACCCGTATTCTAGCGATTTATGGCCTTTGAAAATGAAGCG